CAGCAGGGAGCAGCCCATGGTCCTCCCAAGTGAAGCAGGATGTGAATCCCGGTCATGGCACCAGATGCTGTCATGAAATAACCCAAATTACAATTTAGATCAGGTCAGAGCAGAAGGGGCTTGTTGCTATGGCTATAGGAGAGGACAGGAAGCAGCAGAGCGACAGCCTCAGCTGATATTAACTTTGCCCAGCTGGGGCAGCTACAGAGTTCCTATAACACTTACAACACATTTTTCACCAAAACTGTGTCAGATAAGTAGCATATGGTATGTAACAGCAGCCAGTGAAGTTCATTAGACAAGGAGGCTCTAGACAGGGCTTCCTTTTACAAATAGGTTACTTTGTTAATTAAATCATGCCAACCAGCAAGGCCATTAGCTGTGAATGCTTCCTAACTACTGAGACTGACTAAGGCCTATGACATTAACTATTTGGCTTTCACACTCTAAACATGAGTAAGTAATTGCAGTGCTTTTGATCACTTGCCTGTGTAAATTTCATAGTGCTCTTATGAACAGAAATGCTGACTTTTTTGCTATTTCAGAGTAACTCCAAAACAAGTGAAGTGCAGGCAATGGTTAAATGCAGAAACAAGAGACCTTTGTTGGATTTTCAGCAGTCATTTGCTCATGACATGCACACTTTGTAAAAGTACAATAACAAATTATTTTTAATATGGAATCTGCTGATGCTTACAGAAGTGCCAGCACAAGACAAGTTAAAATTGAGCATTTGTCTACTTTCATAACTTACTGTGGTCCATGAGACCATTAGGAGCAGCAGGACATCTCCAGTGCAAGAAATGAACACAGTTAAATTAAATGGAACTACACAATGCAACTTTCTGTACATCTCAATCTCACTAACATTTTTTTTTCTGTAAGTCTTTACACTTCAGATCTTGGGGAATAAATTTAGAAAGAACATGATATCAAACTGTAATTTAAAATAGAAATTGATTCTTTTTGGAAACATTTTTCCTACACAGTTGTTTCAACTGGGGATCCTGTCCTGTATTTGCATAAATGACACACAGTTCAATTTGCCTAAGGAGGTGTACTGATCATACATCAGTGTGATTAGTTGTGTATTAAGCAACCAAGGATCTGAAGACATTTGCAGAGAATCAAGTTCTAGCAGAATAAGTTGTTTTAAAATAGTATTAAAGTTGTTAATTGCCATTTCAGAATTAAAAAATGACTATGTAGTACACTTATATTAAAAATACAGTGGTTAAAAATAGACATGATAGGATATATAGGATCTGTAAACTTTTGTTTTATATATATGCCTATTTCTATACAGCTACAAGAAACAAAAGTTGATACTCAATTCTCCCTCACACTTTAAGTTTTTAAAAATGAAGTATTCTAGTGTTAAATTCGTTTTTCTTTCACTCTGTGTGCTTTCTTAAAATTGTTTATATGAAGATACTTGTATCAAGACGCAACTAATGAACTAGTACACTGCAGATCTTCATTGGAAGGGATTGCTTACAGATGTATAGCTGCAAGTAGTTTTCTTTCATTTTACGAGAGAAATGTCATCCCTTAAAGATTAAAAACCTTGTAAGTCATAACAGTGAGACTTAAGTGGGCTCAACAAATGGCCAGAAACAAATGTATAGCTGTTACCTGAGGATATTGCTGATCTCACTTTCAAATGCAATATGTATCATTTTGCTTCTATCAGCATTTTAAATATTGAGATTTTTTTCCTAAGCCCACTGAAATTCCTTGTGGTTGGTCATTGTTGTCTTGATTCTCAGTCACTAGATTGTGTCATGAAATGTTTTCTCTTTTATGATGCATTCTAGCATCAGTCAAGGCTTGTCTTGGCTCCATTAGGTAATAAAGAACAATTTTGGAGAGTATGTTTTGAATGAAGCAAAACTTTGCCCAATGCATTTTTTCTTTTCTTGTAACTTGTAAACTTCATAGCATGTGGTTCTTGTTCCAGGTGATATCTGCTGTGTTCTAACACTTGAGTTGGTAACCTTTGTTGTTGTATTTAGTGTCAAGTTATGGTGCTCAAAAGAAATCAGAATGACCCTACTGACCCTCAGACATCTCTACTGTATAATAACTAGAAAGCTGTATAATAGCTTGCATTTACATTTGCTATAAGCTTAGCTCTTGTATTTACACCTTTCTCTGTTCACGTATCTGGTTATTTTCTCTGTTCTTCCCCTAGCGATGGACTTGTAAAGAAGACTTGGAACTGAAATCAGGAGTCAAGGAGTTTGGAGTGGGTAATTGGGCTAAAATTTTGGTCCATGGTGACTTCAACAATCGAACTAATGTCATGTTAAAAGACCGCTGGAGAACACTGTGCAAGATCAAACAAGGCTGATTTGGACTAGAGGAATTGACTCTTGACCCTTAAGGCTGATTTGGACTAGAGGAATCGACTCTTGACCCTTCCCTACATAAGGACGTAGTCTAGCTTTTCAGAGTAACTTATTTTAGCCTTGGAGTGTCCAGCAGTGTTGCTGTCCTAAAACATAAAACAGAATAGCAATAGGTATAAAATATCCATGTAAGCTCACTTGCTTGGGTAATGATGACTTAGATGTAAAGCCTGGCCTTTTATCTACACACAGCAGGTGTCAGTTGGTCACTGTAAATGTCCTGCTCATGAGAGGCTGTAACAGATGTGCAATGGTACTGTGCTGTCTTTCTTGATTCAGTTTGTATGGAAGAAGAGTTCCACAACCTTAGAAAACTCATACATTCCACTGTCACACTAGTGCAAATCTAGTAACTTGAAATAACATATCACAGCATTCTTTTAAAAATGAAGTCTCTTCAATTCAGATGTTCGCTGTAACTTTGTCCTTAGATAAGGTTTTTATTTTACAAGAACCTTACAGGGAAATGCATCTGCCCAGACCTCTCTGAGACATGTTTCCTGACTACAAAGGAAGAGAGAAATTCTTGAAGGCTGAAACATTCAGAAAGTATTAAGATAACTTCTCTGCTTTCTGTTTTGGAGGCCTGCTTCCATTAAGATAAAATGCTAAAAGTGCAGTTACAAAGGTTTGTTTCACACTCTTACTGTGGACAGGACCTCAGCCAGATTACCTTCCTCATTCTTGCCACCACATGCTATGGTTTCTTCTTGCAGTCACTAGAAACAGCGGCAAGCAGTAGTCTTTAGACTACTACCACAGAGATGCTGCATGTCTTAACAGTAAATTTTCTTAACCTTATGGCATAATTTCTTCTTAGCAAACATTGTGAATTTCAGGATAAAATACAGGCTTTGTCCTTCAGCAAAGAATGCTAGAGCAGCTGTAAGCCTATGATTCAAAAAAAAGCCATAGCAGGTATCTGACAAGTGAGAAAGTGCAGTATGCAGCCTCTTTAATGCTGTAACAATAATTCAAGATAAGTAATAAGTAACAAAACATGGATTTGAGCTACCTGCATAGCAGTCTTGCCAGTGCTCTACTATTGCAGGTTTTAATGTTAATCGTTGTACATGAGCAGTTTTAACTATGAATATTTTTTTTAAAAAAGCCAAAGCTTTAGTCACGAAGTCTTTTTTAGGTTCAGCTGCTGTAACATTCGCGCTGTGTATCAGTGGCATGAAGTTCTGAGCAAGAATACTTCCTTAACAACACTGACTAGTCTTATGTTTTTATGAAGGTGGCTGAACATGAAAACCTCAACGTAGAGAAAAAGCATTTATCCACTTGTAGTTATAAACAACTGTCTAGATCCTTTGTTCCTTCATCTAAACTGAAACCTGGTTTTAGCCAAACTTTCATTTTTATGTACCCTTGGTATTTAATGACGACAGTAACTATTCTCAGACTTGGAAATGTTTGGCTAGCTCACTACTGAGTAGGAGCAGTGCCTGTAAACAGGACTGGCCAGTAAAGAACGAGAACTTTAGGAAAAGCAGCCACTACAGTCAGAAACATTAGCTCTTTAATTACAAAAAAGAAACGTGGAAACATGCTTCCAGTGTTATAATACAAAGACCAGTCTTAGCATATGAAGGCAGAGAGTTTCCCAAAATGCTTCTTCCAAAGTTCTGACTCGTTTGAAGTTTGTTTAGGCTCCAGAAAATACAGCAGGAAGATGTAGGTTTCTTGGCACTGGTGTTAATTTTCTTAATCTTATTGGGGTTTTTTTCCTGTTTTAAAGGTTCTTTAAACATTTTTATGTAAAAATAAAGCTATGCACAAGGGGACATGAACAGTGTTCCAGCTGCCGAATCTTCTTCCAGGTTCCTTGGCACTGAGAGTTGCCAACTGCTTCCCAGTGTAAGATTTTGCCTCTGAAATGCAACAATAAATGAGGAATTAAACCACAGAATACTGTCTATTTCATAGTACTAGGTTGTGTTGTATAACATGTCAGAAGATTACATTTGCTTAATAATGTGAGACTTTAATTAGCTCATCTAGCTCTTAAAATGCTTTCTGGAACAGGTACTATATTCCTAAGCATGGTATACAGGATGGTGGATTGAGAAGCTGGTTGTACAGGTATTAAGTAGCATGCATATTAATAAATGTATAGATCAAATAGAAACCTGTTCCAAATATTAAACTACTACTTTCTAAATTACTGTTCTAGAAACCAGGTGTATAGGTTTGAGAGGAGTACTGATCTACCACTGTTAAACCTGAAATCGGATTTGGAATATGGCAGGAAGTACTGTTTTTAAGTAAAAGTGCCTGTAGCAAAATAGACCTCTTGCACTGCAAAAGTTGCATCATCCCTTCACAATAGTAAATAAAGCATTCAGATCACTGAACTCATTCAAATTATTTCTCAATTTTAGCTAGGTTTTAAAAGCAATTTCTGTGAGAACTGAAAGGGTAAATCTACAAGTGATATGAACTGTTTCATTTTTTAGGTATAATAAATGAAGCTTTAAATGAAACCCTGAGAAATCTTAACTTTTGTACTGGGTTTTGCTGCAGAAAAATGACTTTCTTTACCCATCTGCATTGTGTCCATCTCCAGAACAACGATGTGTGTCACTATTCATCGCTGGAGGCTGGCAAGCTACACACACAGTATGGCCTTCTCGTATGTACTGCATCCATCGAGCATATGGCCGATTCTCCAGAGCACAGTGGTGTGAAAGGGATTCTGTTTTAAATTCCACACAGTATCTGCTCAGAAGGAAAAGTATTAAATTAATTATGATAGGTAAAGCACAAGCTAGGTATACATTTTAAATGTACTTACAGGTGGTATTTGTGAAGTGCGAGTTAGACATCATCATGGCCAACAAGTCTGTTTCTGACTCTAACCTAATTAATGGACTCTTAAAAGCGTTACACAAACTATTTCTCATTCCATGCCCCAGTCCAGTGCTTTATGTGTAATTCCACTTCCTGATTGTGTTCTGTATTCTTAAATTATGTTGAAAAGCCAATTTCAGCAACCCGTATTTTTTCTGCTATGCTGCTAAGAGAAAATGGAAAAGAGGCTTTAAGAATACTGATGGGCTTTATTGTTCTGAGGAAATCAGCATAGGGCAAAGTATTATGAGCTGTAAAGACCCAGTAATAGCCTAATTTAAACTTCATAACCATCTCTACTGGTAACCAAACAACATTTTTTAGTGTTTGTGTAAATTAATTTTAAAAAACATTCTCTTGAGGCCAATCACATTCAGCCCATTTTTTTGTTCAGCAACCTACGTCTGATTTCTCAGACTTGGATACATCCAACTTTGGTTTAGCATTGTTTACTGTTTGCTTTCAAAAGCAGCTATCCTCAGATGTGCTGTGACCTCAGTGTCTAATTTGGGACAATTAGCAAGTAATAAAAAACAACACCTAGAACACACAAATGAACTGCAGGAGAGAAAAACAGTACAAGCTATAGCTTATTGTTTAATTATTGCAAATTTAATTACATTTTTCTCTGTAGCCAGCTATGTTCTATTGAACAAGATGACCTACATGCATATGATAAATAGATTACCCAGGTGCTTCTTTGTCTGAAGGCCAGAGAGAAGATACTGCTCGTCGTTTTCTTTCTTTACCGTATTCAGAGGTAGTTATGAAAGCAGGAACTGAGGAAGAAAACAGTTACGGTAAGGCAGCAAGACACAGTTGAGTCATATTTCAATTACTGTAACAGTGGGTGAATGAATAAGGAGCTCATGGATGGTGATGCTGACTGACTTCATTGAAAAAGTGATAAAAAGTTTGCAACATTAGACTTCAACTCCATCCTTACAGCTAAGCTCTCCTTGTTTGGAAGAAATACATCTAGATATGACTGCAGTCAGGTCCGTGAGGAAATACAATGTGCTGGAATCCTAGAAGGAGCTCTGTTTCCTGTTTTGTACTGAATTTGTGTTCTGACTTTGTGCAGAGATAATTTGATACTTACTTACTGATTACTTACTGGCCTTAAATCAAGAAGCTGAAGGAATGCATGCAGCTGAGTTGTTTACTTAACAGAAATTAAGAAAAACCTGAGTAGGAAAATAAGTGTAAGAATAAAATAAAGAGCAATGTGACAATAGAAAGGAAGGTTTAAAATTGTATTTTTAAACCACTAGCTGCAGATAGATGTGTTGACATCAGTAAAATTTATGAAGACCCTGATGGGCAAAATGTATGGATAAAGCAAAGCAAAAATACCGTGTTCGTGGCCGCAGTCCTCTCCCTGGTAGGTCAGGTATTCAAGGCAGCCAGCCTTCTCCTCTAGAGCAGGACAAGGTTCCCCACCATTTTTAGGCTCCTGTTGTACATAGCGCCTACGTATCCGCAGCCCAGGTTGACATTGTTCTGCACAGCCACTCCAGTGACTCCACTCCCCCACAACACAGGGAATTGCTGCAAAGCAGTATTAAAACATTACTAGTAGTCATGACATCTGTTTCATCCTAATTGCTCTCAAAAGCTTGAGTAAGACGACTGTCTGGTTGGTTTGGTTTATTTTGTTTTTTTCTTTCTTATGTACTTTTATTTATAGGGTTGTAAACCCTTTAAACATTCAAACATGCCTGCAGTGCTTGGCTCCCCATTCCATACCTTGTCCAGAAAGAAAAAGTTCCTCATGGAAACCCTTCACTACAGCTGTCGTTCTTCTGTACCCTCTTCTGGGAGACCAGCTTATGGATGGTCTTGTGCAGTCTGACCTACCTTGGCAGTTCCTACACCACCAGATTTTGTTTAAAGGCTGGAACATAAAGTAGCAGAATTCAGCAAGACTTTCAGCCTTCTTGATTCACTTCCTATTCATTTCTAACCCCTTTTCCTCAAACTGAAATAAGTTCCACTGCCACAGCTTTGTTGCCCTGTTGTAAGATGTGGTGTCCTGCTCCACAGTCCTTGCTGCAAAGACATTTTTGGTGATCCAAAACCCAGCCTAACAAGCAAAGGTACAAAGAAGTCATGTCTTCATCTGTTAAATTCACATATATTAGGTGAGTTCATTGAAGGTCACAGATGAAGAAAGAAAGAAAGAGAGAAAGAAAGAGAAAGAAAGAAAGAAAGAAAGAAAGAAAGAAAGACTAACTGATTTATATTCTGTGGTATTTCTCTGGCAACTGCTGAAACCTTTATCCCACCTATGGCCTTTGACACTTCTTTGATTAAAGAACATGCAGATTCTTTAGGAAAAAGAAACCTAAAATCATCACATCACGTAGAGAATGAACCCTTGTCAGGTTTGTCACTTTTCACACGAGAGACATAAATGATGGACTAAGCATCTGTTAGTTTCAGATTTGTCTTGAAATTCAGAAATGTTCAGATCTATCATATCTGTTATGCACTAGTCATTTCCTTGTTTTATTCTCTGCAGTGCATCTACTAATGATGGCATGCTCCTTGTAGTTCTCATTTATACTAAGCATAATAAGGATTTTTTCCAATCTATGCCTCTCCTTTCTTCTGGATTTTCCACTTCTATTCTGGCAAAGCAGTAGCTCAGTCTCAACCTTGCCAAAGTAAGCAGGGGTAATATGCCAGATATCTTCCAGGTGGATGCAAATAATCTATTCTGGAAAAAAGGGGGTTGCAGCCTGATTCCCAGAAGACGGAAATGGCTGATAAACACATTATTCCTGAATAAGAAGCTACATAACACACAAGTCTTCGCTTTACTTGTCCATTAACACAGTATACAATGGTAAAAACCCCACAACTGTTTCACACGTTTCCATGAAACTGAACTGAGCCTCATCTCCAGAAACACCAAGCCACAGATTTTTAAAACTCTCTGGCCTAACAATTTCATTTTTACCAGTCAAAATTAATATTGCAGCTCTTCAAAACTGTACTGAGTGCAGACCCCTGAGGGGCTGGATGAGGATCTTCTCTGGGTCTGTTACGAGGGGCCTCAAGCAAGCATGCACTCAAGGACATGCGTTCTTTAAAATTGGAGCCAACTTTGTAATTGGAGCCGGTACATCCTGGCATATTGATACATTCTAGGACATTTTGAAGGACTGCAGATAGACTAGGAGACACTGGTTGATAATGGAAACCAAGGAATTAATAAATAAAGTTATAAAACAAGAACAATACAAGGAAGGACCATTTTGGGAAAAGGAGTCAGAGTTCATGGCAAGAACATTAAGAGTGCCTCTTCAGATCCACCAGGGACCACCAGAGACCACCGAAAGACCACTTGTACGCAAGAGCAGTTGATTGAGCAATATTTAAATGCATTCTAATTATATTTAAATTGCAACCAATCATTGTATCTTTGATAGTGAAATCTTGAAACTTTTGTGTATAAATATGCTAAGAAAAGTATCCATACTCATGCAAGCTAGGATGGAATAAATAATGTCCCTCACACCTGACGCCAAATAAAGAACACCTGCTTCTTAACGCTACATTGGTGTTAAGAGGTTTTTCTATTTCCAATTTCACTGTCAGGTGCTTACTGATAACCCCTCCAATGAGAAACTTCAACTCTACACAGCCTCAGTAAGGCAGAGTAGTGAAAGGGCACACATGGGCACCCATCAAGAGGAAGAATCCTCTGAGGATAAGCAGTCAGTTCCCCACGAGTAGTCCTCAGCCTGACCTACGGGATCATTTAAGTTGATTGGTGGTCTATTCCCAGAAGCCTTTTTACCTGGAGGCCACCTTGTAGGTGCTCCAGGTTAGGCAGCCACATTTCTCTGAGCTGCTTCCCCTCTTGTCAGTGTGTGTCCCCAGAGGGAATGTCCTCTGCCTGGGCACCAGCGACAGCAGGTTCCTGTGGGTGCACGGTGTGCTGCTGGGCAAGCAGGGAATGGCCAGGTCTGCAGCTTTCCTTAGCCATGAATGAGACACGCAGTCAAAACACTGCAGCACTGCGTATGAGTCCATGCCGCTTCCTCTAGTATCAGCAGCTGCTTTTTTGTCCTCTGATGGGCTTGCTTTTTCAATAAAGTTATCATTAACATCATGTAATTAAAACACTGGCACACAGTGTCTTATAAAAAACTAAATGTTCCTATGTTAACATTAGGGTTTCTTATTGATAAACTCCCCTGTTTGTCAAAGACTTGTTTTCATTGCACATTGCAAATAGGCTTAAATTTTCCATGTAGCATGAATCACATTTTACTTTGCTTTTCCGCTCCTTTATAAAGACAAGGCTTCAACATGATACTTAGAGAATGGTACAAAATATTAGTTATAATCAATGGCTGGGATATCTTAAATTTGTTTTGGTTGTGCCTCTCATTATCTAGTTAAATGAAGCTTTTTCCTTTCCCATGAGTGCTGTTTCCCATTAGCTTGTAATGCAATGTCACATGGTTTTGATCTTTATTTTTTCTGTTTCCTGATTACAGTTTAAATCCTCAAGAAATTTTACAGCTTAACCACTAGTTATGTACTTGTATCAGTGTTGCAGAAAAGCGATGGGACCAAATTAGTCTTGCACATTGGGCCACTGGTTGTCCATCCTGCTTAACCATTAAGCATTCTCTGGCATTTTCTTCTGCTAACTGATAAACACCCAGGCAGCTCCTGGATGTGATTTGTAGAACAGCACTGGAAAGTAGCATGGAAAAGACAGCAGCAGGCCTGGCTCCTTTTGTCACATGTGGATCGGTGACACTGTGCACCACCAGGCACTACCCTCAGACACATCTGGTACCCCAAGGCACTGCCACACTCTGTGGCTGCAAAGGAACCACTCTAACATGGTGCAGCACAACCCTCAGATGTGTGCTTCAAGCATTTTGAACTAGAAATATGAAAACCAATTATGGTAAAAATGTCTTAGACCCCACCATGGGATAGCCAGGACAAGCACTAAATATAGTATGGACATCATGCTCCTTGTCATCTGGCCGCAGGGCCAAAAAACTGTCCTTGGCCCAACTTTACTTAATAGTACAAGCATAGACTTTGATGCTTCATTACACATCTTAATTCTACCTAAAGTACCCAAAGGACAGTAAGTGTCATCTACCCCAGTTTCCTTATCTGTTGACTGTCTTCCAAGTTGGCTGTGTAAATGACCTACAGAAGTAAGAATTTCCACATAATTTTAATCCCACATTATCACTTTGATATGCAGGTAACACTAGGTCTAACATTGCATTTTCCACACAGAAAACTCCCAAAGGGGTAGCTGCATAACAAATAAACCGATGACTTCACATCTTACTAGAATTAAACCAAGCTGACAGTTAAATACTGGTCATCTTCAGCAATACATGGCAATTTTATGGTCATCAAGACTTAGAACAAGAAGTATGAATCGCCTTAGTCATGTGGAATAATAAGAATATTAGGTTGCTAGAATGGAATTCAGCCAGTGGGATAGCAACATCGCTTTTGCAGTCAGTACCCAGAATTATTAAGGGACAGTGCATCAGTTCTGTGCCTCATTGGCAAGATGACAAATTCCTCAACATGACAGAGAATGGGTCCCAGAGCCAGAAAAGGAACAGTGCCATCTTTTGAAATACAAGAAGAAATATCAGGGGCCCATAGCTACATCTTTATGGTCTCTCTCTATGCTACTATTGGTCCAGCTTAGTTAACACAATGATGGTAAATGAATATTTATTGAAATAATGTAAAGGATGCAAGTCAAAAGAACCTGAAAGGCAGGATTTGTGCTCAGGTACCTACCAAAATGTGGAAGCTAGTAAGACATTTGAATGTTCAAAAATACACAGAAAAAATACATTACTATCCTATGAAACACAGCTTCAGTGGTCAGGACTTCCATGTGTCCCCATTTACACCACTGTGAATAATGGATTTTTTCCTGAGTCACACTCTATTTAATTTTTTCCTCTCTCTGGAAAAAAAAGAGGATTACCGTATCTTCACTGAATCACTGCAAAGCATATGTATAAGGGTCTGTGGATTTTCTCAGAACAACCACTTCCATTCAAATGATGAGATCATTACTTTTTCAGGCTTTCTCATCATACAGTACATTCTATTTAAAATACCCTTTATGTATAAAAATATCCTTTCTTCATTGTTAGAACTATAAGGAAATCTGTTTTAAAAGATCTGTAAATACATTTAAAAACCCCTAGAGTTAAGTTCAGCAGCCTATGGACTTCTCCTGAGACATATAAAGTACCAGACATACTATGATTATTAGGCACTACAGGATTTAACCATGACATTGGCAGCTTCAGAGCACCCCTCCTTTCAGTGGTTTATATTATTTTGGATCATTTTGTACTTTTCCATACACATTTATTGTTTACATATACTAGAGGTTGTAGGCACTTTACACTTTCCCAGATACTTTGTCCAGTTAAATATTTTATTAGTAGGATAAAATGTCATTTAAGCTGGTGCTGAAATCACGAGTGGCCAACAGGCTGACAAACAAGCTGTAGCATAAGAACCACTGGTCACCTTTCTCCACATTTCAGTTTTAAATGATCTGAATTCTACACTCAAAACAGCACTTTGGAGTGAATTATGCCAATAAACATCCTTGGTGTCATTTAACACATGGACAGAGTTTAGAAACACTCAGTGGTGAGACCTCAACATTCAACAGAAACAAAAATGACTTTAAAATCTCTGGCCATACTTGTTCAAGTTGATACAAACTCCCACTGGAACTATTTTGAATTTCTGTTTATACAAAAGAACTTACTGGCTGCTTGCAAAAGAAAGTATATATGATCATTTGCCACAAGAACGACTATTTGTGATCAGTTTTGTAGTTCTGGGATGTACGAGTACTAGGAGCACCCCACCAGGCTGCCAAAGCCCTGTCCTCCCATGCTACGCCCATGCAAAGTGTCGTGCTCTCTTTGCTTGTGGTAGCTTTGGTGCTCACACAACAGGGTAGCGAGGCGCTGCAGAGTCAAACCACCCAGAAATGGGTGATACAGAAAACATAAACAGGGTTTAGCTCCTCTAACTGGGCCACCAGAGACTGACAAATTCCAGCTCTGGTGAGAGACTTCCCTGAGACTCCATCTCCCTGCCTGGATCTAGGGCACCCACTGTGCACACAGGCTGGCTGTCTACCAGACAGAGACAGCACATCATGCCTTTTGAGACAACCACTACTGAGCTTGAGACAAAAGATAACATCCCAATTCACAGTAAGGCATCGTCAGATGCCAGAAGTCACGGTGAGAAAAGTGTCTAAACTACAACTTTTCAAGCACAAGTTGGAGCTTCTTTTCAAAGAGCACAGAAATTTTTATCAGATTACAGCTGTTTTGATGATAACACTATGCATCTTTATAAGCTCTCTCCTGCTATACTTGAATATTAAATATCATTTAGTTTACCAAAAAGACGCAATATGCAATGAGTATATGACAAGCAAGCATCTCGTCAGTTATAGAATCCCAGAATCACAGCATGATTTGGGTTGGAAGGGACCTTAAAGATCATCCAGTCCAACCCCCCTGCCATGGGCGGGGACATCTCCCACCAGACCAGGTTGCCCAAAGTCTTGTCCAACCTGGCCTTGAACACTTCCAGGGAGGGAGCATCCACAACTTCCCTGGGCAACCTGTTCCAGTGTTCTCTTCCAACTGATTTTCCTGAACAAAGGATCAATATACGAAAAACCAGAATTTTTAGGGTTTTTTCCCTCGTATGTTACTCTAGAAAGCAGATGGTTTAGTGGTCAGAGAACTGACCGTGTTTTCTGTAGAGACCTGGGGTCAGAGCTCTGCTCTGCTGATTCTTTCTCTGCAGCTTTACCTCACCCAGGATGAGTCTACGCTGTCTGACCGTCATAGTCCCTCTGCCCAAACCAGGCAGGCGCAAGTCAGCTTGGGTCCCAAAGCTATGTAGCTATGTCAGCACAGCGCTGAGCCTGCTAAATACACCCTAATTAGTTGGACTGCACAGCAGAGACTCATGACCTTCTGGCTGTGGGCTGGAGTGTGTCCAGCCAGCTGGGAAGGGACGTGTGACTGCCAGAGCCCTGGTGCTTCACCTGGAAAGCGAGGGCAGTGTCCCTGCATCGCAGAGAGAGGGAGGGAGGACAAATCGTGAAGACCACGAAAGGTAGAAATGCCACGGAAAGAGGGAGTGTAAATACCTACAAGGCTGCTGGGTCCAGTTTGGTAGAACTGGGCCACTTTCCTCTCCTTGCCTCTGCTTGCTCCTCTGGGAGCCAGGCCTTAGCGGCAGCTGGGCAGAGGACCATCTCACTCATTCCCCTACACTCAGTTTGAAGTCTTTGCCTTCACAGTGGATCCTTGCCGATTCCTGTCCCGAAAAATGAGGACAAAACCTCAACCTGGGATTTTCTCCAATTATTTCATTGCTATTTGTTTGGCAAGATGGGAGGGATCAGCTTAGACACACAGACGGTGCTAAATTAATATCCCTGTTGTCTCTATAATCCTACATCCTCGCAGTAACAGACGTGTATCTGGGATGAGCATGAGTGAAAAGTAAGTAACATCACATTTTAGAGAGAAAACAACTTCAGACTGGCAAACCCTAGGCACTGTACTACAGCTGATCCAGAACCCTTGCCAATGCCTAGGGCGGGGAAAGTTTCTCTTCCCACTCCTGTGCCTGCTGCTACCCTCACACAGCCCTACTCTAGGCTCATGCCCTCATCCAGAGCCTGCTGATACTGCAAGGAAGTTGGCCTCGCAGAGACCCCCTCGCAGCTGAAATTGCACCCTCCATCTCCAAACCTCAGGAAAACTCCCAGCCCACAAAGCATCGACAAGTAACCAGCGAACTACACCTGGAGAAAGGGACGGGGGTGCCCAGGGGGTCCCCGCTTAGCCCGCCCCCCACCCACGCCCCTCTCGGAGGGCTCGTTGCGGGATGCGGACCCCCTCAGAGTCTGGCTGACAGGGCGGGGGGGTGGACGCACCTACCCGGGCAAGCCTGGCCGTGGTCGTGGCAGCAGTCCCCGGCTCGCCGGCACCCTCCGTCGCAGTAGCAGGTCCCGTAGCCCCCTCCCTCCCTCCATCCTTCGCCGACACAGGCGGCGTCCCGGCCCTCGCAGCATT